TTAGAAATAATTAGATAGATAGATAGATAGATAGATAGATAGATAGATAGATAGATAGATCTGAACAGACTGAGAGATAGGTAACTAGATAGATAGAAAGATAGTTATGAACAGGCTGAGAGCTAGCTAGCTAGCTAGCTAGATAGATAGATAGGTGAACTGCGAAGATAAACTTATCGTAACTGCGATTGTGGTGATGCTGATCTTTGAAAACACGTGTGAACGCGTTCTGTTATAAATATTCTTTTTAAATTAACCGTTGTGGTTACGACCTTTTGTAAACAAGCGTCCCCAATACAAGGGGGTAATCAGAGAATCAGAGATGGTAAAATGCAACACGGTGTTAAATGTTAGTCAACTCAAATGCATTTAAAACATTGTTACTATACTAGTAATAAATTTTGTTCAGTGTTATTTGGTTGCTTTTGATATAGACAGCCTGGAGAATTTGTCGGATACAAGTTCTATCGGACAATATTTAAAGACACTTTCTTGTCTCCCTTCACAATATAAAAAATACTTTTTGAGAACACCAATATACTACACCATGAATATAATAAAAAAAACTTCAAATTCTCGATGCCCTCTATATCAAAAGGGTGTTAGAAGTTAGAGAGCCATGATCGTCCACGTATTTAAGTGATTATCTTAATAAATTAAGATAATGAACACGGGAAAGAGCGAGATAGATAGATAGATATGAACAGACTGAGATAGATAGATAAATAGATAGATAGATAGATAGATATGAACAGACTGGGATAGATAGATAGATAGATAGATAGATAGATAGATAGATAGATAGATAGATATGAACAGATTGAGATAAATATGAACAGACAGAGAGTTAGGTAGATAGATAGATATCAATAAACTGAGATAGATAGATAGATAGATAGATAGATAGATGTGAACAGAATGAGAGAGAATGAAGGTAAGATAGAAGATAGATAGATAGATAGATAGATAGATAGATATGAACAGAATGAGAGAGAATGAAGGTAAGATAGATAGATAGATAGATAGATAGATAGATAGATAGATAGATGAACAGAGATGAAATAGACTGAAAGAGACGAACAGATAGATAGATAGATAGATAGATAGATAGATAGATAGATAGATAGATGTGAACAGACTGAGATAGATAGTTAACAAATTGTTATATGTGTGTATGTATGCGCGCACACGTGTGGTATGTGTGCTTGTGCGTGTATAGAGGACACTGAAAACTGAAGGGAATATAAAATCAACTAAAAATTTGTAAATTTTATTTCCCGTTTTTTTTTTTTTTGTTTTCCTTTTTCATTATTTCGCTTTTGAATGGCCGTTTTTAGTGGCAAAAGCGTTTATTGATTCTCTCCTGTCGTATTCAAGGAAATGATGGATCATATGCCGTGTTTCCGGGTTGGAGATTCCGCCCACATCCGCCAGGGGCGTTCCTTCTTCGATATAAATATACATACATATATATATATATGAGGACACGGCAAATCTACAACACCAAAATCCTGACAAGACAGTAGTCAAAACAGAAAATCATCTGTCCGAATAAATCCTACAGTTGAAACAAAAAACCATTTGACAAATAATTTCATCGACGATGATGGTAAGTTCAAATTTTCTATTCTGGTTAAAATCTCTTCTCAATCTTTCCCTACTCTGATATTCGGCATCCGCAATCATTTTAGTGCCAATCTGTTAGGGGAACTAACTAATCCCTACTGCAGACACTTGCTCAGGCGCATTCATATTTCTTCTACACCCACAGAGCCAACCACTGAATTTATGCCGCAACTGTGATGAGAAGACCAGTATCTGGTTATCTATTCTGAGATAGATTGCACAATCTACATTAGCAACAGTTCAAAAAGGCCAGTAAGCTGAAACACAAGCTCACGATGACATCATTTCATATAAACACAACCATCAGTGACTTACGGACTGTTCGTCCACTAAATTTCACTCAAAACGCTTGGATCAACCCGTGGTATGTTTACCAGGCAATTTTCAACGATACCACGAGCTGAGCTGTAACCACGTGTTATATATATATATGCTCTACGGTTGTATTGAGCGCTTTTGTTAGTTAGTTGTTTACTCGTATCGGGGTTTTTTCTTTGGGCTTCAGACCTGCAACTGTGCGATTTTTTTGTCGTGCAGAAGTTCATCTTTGTAACTCTTTCTTTTTTTAAAACCTTTTTTTCCCTCAAGATTGATTTGATTATTAGCAAATCAAAAGTTCGAGGGTTTTTCGAAACGAGTCTAGTTATCTATCTATCTATCTATCTATCTATCTATCTATATATATATATATATATATATATATATATATATATAAGCCCTTCAAAGTTGCCATAGAAAATGCTGTAAACAGATGGCCTGAAAATTGGGTCCAAGCATGAAACAGACTGTCACCGCTCGGCGTCTACTTTTATATTTTCATACGTTTTATGTTATTTACGTTGATGTGACTGCACATGCGCACGAACGAGAGACG